CCGCAGGATACACCGCATCACTCGTGAAAATAACTTCCATACGCAACGAAAGCCACGGGAAGGGTGTGGGGTTCTGTCATATTCAACTTCCGGTTTGGCGGTTTTATTGTCTGTGCAACATGCTGCGCTATCGGGGCGATTGTGTGATACGAAAGTCGACCCAAATACTGTATAGAGTCATAGCTAACATATTTTTTGTGAAAATTATCTTTGAGGGAAGGAAATTCAGGAAAATACTCGCCTCGCATGAGGAGTTGCACTTCGATCGGCCGATGGTGCGCCCTTTGTGGCGAAAATGGGAAATGTTGTAAGATGGGGGGGGGGGGCTCTCCATTTAAAAACTGAGGGTGGAGGAAATGTTTTATTCTTCCAATTGTAAATTTATTCTTATTGGCATTGAAATAATTGTTTTATTATATTATCTTACATTATAAAATAATTACGCCTTATTTTGCCTTTCACTCTAGAAAAATTCAATCACAAAATCCTACAGTCCCACTCAAATTTTCAAATGGAGCACCCCTTGCCAAGAAAATAGTTTTGGGATTTTGTGATAACCTGTCAATGTTCAAGGTTCTCGCTTCGTTGTCGGGTTTTGGAGAGTTATTGTGTATTCTTGTACCCAAGCATGTGTAATTTACGTAATCTTTAGTTCAAAATACTAAGCTTTCAGTGGATTTTGTAAATTTCGTCCCTGAAAATGAACAAGTGAAACCCCGCACATTATAACGAAACTCTATAAATAGCCGAGGAACTGCTATGTCAGCCATTGTGCGCTACAGTAGCGCAGCCAGCGTCCTGTCTTCGTTCAGCGCCTTTTATGTGAGGTTGTGCTGCAACGCTGAGAGATTCCTTCTATAAGTATCTGACCAGAAATACAAAAGATCGTCACGCAGAGATTGTACTGAACCGTATTTAGCGAAGCTACAGTCTACATTGTCAAAAGATCACATCGACGACTCTGGTGTTGTGTTCTGCGAAATCACAAAATGGCGTACCAAATGTGCAACGATTCAAAGGCCCCTTTACGGGAAGTAGTACGAGTGCAGTTCAGCATATTGAGTCCCGATGAAATAGTACGGATTCTTATTATTTGTATTTATTTTTTTGTAGTTAACTTCGCAGCTGGTAAACATGCTGTAATAACACTTGATCACGAGATGTATCCGCCAGTGCAAAGCAAGTTGTATTATTATTGTATGACGTCATCCAGATTTCTTAAAACAAACTTAGTTAGTTGGTGCCTCTTCAATTCTGAGTTGCTCGGTTTGGCTTGTGCTTTCATTTTAATCCCAATAACGACTACTAGTATATAATCCAGACTGACACAGTGCAACATGAAGATTGCTGTATAGCCTGGTGAACTAAAATCTGGCATACACGTATCAACAAAATAAAATTACATGATAGTAAACTTGTGTATAAAGAGATGACATTACCGCTTGTGTGGGAAGTTTTTTTTTGTACCACTAATTATAAGATCCTATAACCCTCACTTTAATTGTGTATGCCCCCTTTAAATACCTATAGGTGTCCTTATGTAAGAGGCATATGCAATTAAATTGGGAAGTGTTTGAGGGTAGGGTTAGAAAGTAAAAGTTCCTTAGGGCTCTCACTTGTAACTCTTGTCCTAACCATGCCACTCCATTGCCTCCCCCATTTCAATTGTATATACCACACTTAGTTTATTTGGAAGGGCGTATTGAATTACAATGGGGGCCTTGATTGTTAGGTTTGGGGTGAGGAGGCCATAAGGAACTCTTTCTTGTTAGGATGGGGCTATGAAAGCCTATACTATTTTTTTTACACAAGTCATTACCAGTAGTTTATTGCCAACCACCTTGCATTGTTACTAAGTGTGTATGACAACTCTGTATCTGCTTTGTGTGCCCAAAATTCAAAATGTTGCAGAATGTTTAGTGATCATGTGTACATGTACTAGAACCAAAACTACCAGTCGGTACATGTTACATATCGGGTCAGGTTTAAGACACAAGACATACCAGAAATAGGTGATATCACCATAGATTAAACATGTAACACGTACTGATGGTATTTATATTAACGTCTTACTGTGACAAATTGACTGACAATTCAATTCTATGCGATTTGCACTCAATGCATGAACCATATTTTGTTGTTAGTAATTGAATTAACATTCGTGGCTGATATATTGTAAGCTCCACCAAACAGTGACCATGATATAAATAAAAACACGATACCATTATTTCCAGAAACGAATGTCTGTAACTGAAGGTGGCATCCGATATTCAGAAACTACAGAAGGCGGACGACCTAAATTACAAGGTTTGATGGACCCACGACAAGGTGTAGTGGACAGATTATCACGATGTCAAACCTGTGCAGGAAATATGCACGATTGTCCCGGACATTTTGGTCACATAGAATTGTCCAAGCCTGTATTCCATGTTGGATTTATTGCCAAAGTTGTTAAAGTTTTGAGATGTTTCTGCTTTTATTGTTCAAAGTTGTTGGTTGATAATGTAAGTATCTAATTCAGAATTGGAAATAATTTTTTTTTAGCTCCGCTGTCGACTTTGTCGAGCGGAGCTTATCATATGAGTGATTGTCCGTCGTCGTCGTCCGTGTCAATGTTTTATTTTTTCGACTTCTTCTTGAAAACTACAAGCCTGAATGCTTTGATACTTTGTGTATATGTACCTTGGGTAGACCTCTCTCAGATATGTTCTTTTCATGATCGTATCTTAAATTCTCTAATTTTGGTGAATGTTTTTAGCTCCGCTGTCGACTTTGTTGAGCGGAGCTTATCATACGAGTGATTGTCCGGCGTCAGTCGTCCGTGTTAAGGTAGAGATGCAGGTTCGTGGGCACTTTTTTGTCCCCGTTCGGACGTAGTCCGAAAACGGGGACTTATGTTTTGCCCTGTGTGCGTCCGTGATCACCTGTATCTCGAACATGCATGGACCAATTAAGTTCAAACTTCACTCATACATCACACATTATGAGACATATGCACATGCATGTTTTTCATGATCCGATTAACGATAGCCAAATGGTGGCCGCTTTAAGGCCGAAAATGCATTGAAATCGCACATTTTCACCATTCCGGACCCGGATCTCAGTTATGCATGGACGGATTTCAGTCAAATTTGGTACATACATTAAACATAATAGGACCTTGATGCACGTCATTTTTTTTTTCGGATCAAGTTCGAAATGGCTGACTGGCGGCCATTTTGTTTTAAAGAATTCAGTTCTGGATCCGTATCCGAGACATGTCTGGATTGATCAAGTTCAAACTTCACACACACAAGGTACATCATGTCACAAATATGTATGTGCATTGTTTCATGATTTCATTAATGATAGCCAAATGGCAGCCTCTTTTATTTTTAAGGTCGAAAATGCATTGAAATCGCACATTTTCACCATTCCGAACGCAGATCTCAGTTATGCATGGACGGATTTTGTTCAAATTTGGTACATACATTAAACATAATAGGACCTTGATGCACGTCATTTTCTTCCGGATCAAGTTCGAAATGGCCGACTGGCGGCCATTTTGTTTTAATAAATTCAGTTCTGGATCCGTATCCAAGACATGTCGGGATTGATCAAGTTCAAACTTCACACACACATGGTACATCATGTCACAAATAGATATGTGCATTTGTTTCATGATCCGCTTAACAATAGCTGAATAATGGCCATTTTAAGGCCGAAAATGCATCAAAATCATGTATTTTCACAATTCCGGAACCTGATCTCAGTCATGCATGGATGGATTTTGTTCAGATTTAGAACAATGTGTTGTACATGTGCAGGTGCATTTCGGTCATGATCTGCTTTGAATGTATATGTCACTCAAATATGAACGGAACGGGGACGTGTCATTGACAATGACTTGTCGTGAATTTTTTTTTTTTTTTGCTTTTTCTTACCCAGACAGTCTTGGCTAGATAGTGTTAAAATTTTGGAGCATTGTCATTGTTGGAACATACTCAAAAATCAATTTTAAAATATAGGGAACCGAGGCAGCGTATGTGATTAAAGGACCAGAAAGTTTGTTTGTGTTGCTCTTTGATTGACAAGTCACTGTTGATGTTATATGCAAATGATTGCTGGCCCCAGTTACGGCGCAGCCGGTGTGAGACTTCCTGTCCTGGCTCTCTGTTTACTTACCTCAAGCGAGATCAACTAGCAAACTACAAAAACAGACAAGACTTAGACGCTTCCAGCATGCAAGCGTAATGAAACAAAACATACACTTGTAACTGATAAGTAAACTTTTTCACCCTTAAATAAATTGATTTTTCATTTATTTTTATGTAGGAGGTAGCGTCGATGGGGTGATTTAATTTTCTCGCAAAACAAGGGATACAATTTCTTTTGTTTTCTTGGTGCATAGATTTCAAGCTTTTTCGCATTGTGGGCGAAACTAAAAAAATTTTCCACAAATTTTTACTCCAACGGCCTTTTAACACTGAAGTAAACATTTCACGTTCGCTGTAAAGATTATCGTGCTGATTGAATTGCAATGCAATTGGCAAACAGCACAGTTGTTGCTGTCATCGCTAACGTTTCAGTGTTAAAATACACAAACATAAAATGTTTGGTTAATTAAAAATAAAAAATACCCTGGAAAGTACCGAAAAATGGGCAATGAGATGCTGTTTTTAAACACCACGGAAAAATCATGCACTGTGCGATGCCATCTTGGTTACCTTAATCGGAAACCCCCTTGTCGGCTAGCATGCACCGGTAGCGATGTTGCAAACTACGTCGTGATCACTCAGATTTGTTCATTTTGTAATGATATCTTCAATTCTCTAATTTTGGTGAATATTTTCATCATTTTTGGTAAAAAGTGATATTTTCAACTTGTTAAAAACCACAATCATTTATGGTGAAAAATGATATTTTTAAATTCTTGTTGAAAACAGCAAGTCCAATTGCTTTGATATTACATATATAGGTACTACATGTGGACCTCACTCAGATTTGTTATTTTGTAATGATATCTTCAATTCTCTAATTTTGGTGAATATTTTTGTAATATTTGGTAAAAAGTGATATTTTCGACTTCTTGTTAAAAACCACAAGTCCAATTGCTTTGATATTACATATATAGGTACTACATGTGGACCTCACTCAGATTTGTTAATTTTGCAATGATATCTTCAATTCTCAAATTTTTATCATTTTTGGTAAAAAGTGATATTTTAACTTCTTGTTAAAAACCACAATCATTTATGGTGAAAAATGATATTTTTGAATTCTTGTTGAAAACAGCAAGTCCCATTGCATTGATACTATGCATATTGTTCATTTTCTAATGATATCTTCTGTTCTTTAATGAAATGTGCAGTGCTAACAGCGGAGCTATCTCAGCAGAGAGGCTGCTTGTTTAAACTGTAAATTTAGTCTAAAAATAATAAAGTGAAATGGTAAGTATAGTAACTTCAGCCATATTTTATTTGTATTACATGTACTACATTCTGTACCTACATGCTTACTCCCAGAATGCAGTATTCCTCTATGCTATTCAAATACATATACCTAATGTTGTGTGTTTATTGCCAGAATCATCCCAAAATCAAAGAGATTTTAATCAAGTCCAAAGGGCTACCTCGCAAAAGACTGGGACATGTGTATGAACTGTGTAAAGGTAAAAAGGTGTGCGAGGGTGGCGAAGAGATGGACCACAAATTTGATGCTGATTTGGCGCAAAGAGAAGATGAAGCAGATCAACCAGCCAAACCTAAGGTAAGTTAGGCATACTAGTATTCATGTGTACGAGTACCATATCTATGGCTGGTTCTGATTTATAGATTATGTGCATCCATCCATTTCTCAGACATTCAAAGTCAATATTCGAAGGTATACATTTTACTCGCCATGCAAAATCTGAATCTTATTTTTATAGTCAATGCCCAAGGTTTCAGCCACTTGTCAGAGGGATCATGCTATGGTATTTATGTAATAATTTGTTTGGGTTATCAGGGTCATGGTGGATGTGGTCGATACCAACCTAGTATCAGGAGGGCTGGTTTAGAGTTGACAGCTGAATGGAAAAATGTTAATGAAGATTCACAAGAAAAAAAGATCATACTTACAGCTGAACGTGTTTTAGAAATATTTAAAAGGATATCAGATGAAGAGTCTTTGATTATTGGAATGGATCCTCAGTATACTAGACCTGATTGGATGATTGTAACAGTGTTACCAGTGCCACCGTTAGCTGTAAGACCAGCTGTAGTTATGAATGGCTCAGCTAAAAATCAGGTTATTACTATAATTGTAATACTTTTATTTCTGATGGATAAATATACTGATATGCCAGTACCTAAGCAACGCTAGTGATATTAGTGTCCAGACAACTAGAAATGTTGTTTATCTTGGAGATTAAAGAAGATCTTTGTTTACTTTTAATAAATGTGGACAAATTCAACAATGTATGCTTTGTACTATGCTATTTTGCAAACTAATATGCATTGCTTCCATTCACCATTTTAGGATGATTTGACCCATAAGTTGGCAGATATTGTGAAAGCCTCTAACCAGTTAAAAAGAAATGAACAGAATGGAGCCGCTGCACATATTATTGCTGAAGATACTAAAATGTTACAATTCCACGTTTGCACTATGGTTGACAATGAACAACCAGGTTTACCAAGGGTACGTTTGCTATGGCATTACATTTTACAAAAAGGGTTTACTCCATGGTGCAATTGAATGAATTGATTAATAATACAGTATTTTTTGTTTATTTTACATTTTTAGGCAATGCAGAAATCGGGACGTCCCTTGAAGTCAATTAAACAGAGACTGAAAGGCAAAGAAGGGAGAATCCGTGGTAATTTGATGGGAAAACGAGTTGACTTTTCAGCACGAGCTGTTATTACTCCAGATCCCAATCTTTCTATTGACCAAGTTGGTGTACCTAGGACTATTGCACAGAACTTAACATTTCCAGAGTTGGTCACTCCATTCAACATTGACAGGTAAGACTGGCATGGTCACGTGTGCATACATAGCTTTTGAATGTCATTTAGACCATGAAAATGTCATTGTTGTCTTCTATTATGTTACACAACATTGTATATAATAATAAAACCGAGACAGTCTCCAGCCATGACCACTCTCACCCCCTCTCCACATGATCACTGGTATCAAAATTGACATTCTTTTAATTCAAACTGTCCTTGTATTCTTATGTGCATATGGATCCATTCTCATAGCATTATTGGCCCCACTGGTACATGTCACTTTTGTCATACATGTAATCGTGACTTTGATTAGAAGCCGTGCTTCTGCTTGAGATGCTCAATACACTTGTAAAAAGCAAATACTCTGCCTATAATGTACACTGTATGTGTTATATTATAAAGTTGTACATTTGATTCCTTAGAATGCATGAATTGGTTAAAAGAGGCAATAACCAGTATCCTGGTGCGAAGTATATTATTCGTGACAATGGTGACAGAATTGATCTAAGATTTCATCCCAAAGCTAGTGATTTACATTTACAGTGTGGATATAGGGTAAGAAATACAATAATTCTAGTCAGTGCATGTTAAGTATGAAGTAAAACCATATTTTGGCTTTGTGGGAAATTTTGATTTATTTATTGCATTTCTGATTTTGTTATGAAATACATAAAAAAAGAATTCAGTATGGTTAAATGGCATTAAGATGTAGTTGTATTTACATCTGTTATTTTAAAGACATCTTTGTAATATGATTGTCTGACCTTGAAACTAAAACATATTGTTTATCATTGCTGATTGTTATGTATTGCAGGTGGAGAGACATATCAGGGACAATGACTATGTTATATTCAATAGACAGCCTACGCTGCATAAAATGTCTATGATGGGTCATCGTATCAAGATTTTACCGTGGTCAACTTTTCGTCTTAATCTGAGGTATTATATTATCTATTGAATAAATGAATATGTGAGACATATTATTTGCAAAGGCTTATCTGCTGAAAACTAGATTGCATCAACTATTATATATCATAAATGTGGTGACAGTGAGTAAAAAAAGAGTGTGTTTGTGCAGACTAATATAATTTGGCATACATGTATGTACATGTCAGACACATAAAATTGTGAATAACTACTCAAATGCTTTCTGTTAACCAGTTAGTTTAGATCATGGCAGATGTTTAATTCACTTTTTACTAAGCTAATATACTTTTTAGATGATATGCAAGGCACTTATGTTTGTTTGTTTGCAGTGTAACTACTCCATACAATGCTGATTTTGATGGAGATGAGATGAATCTTCATGTACCACAATCCTTGGAGACTAAAGCTGAAATTAGTGAGATTATCTTAGTACCCAGACAGATTATAACTCCACAATCCAACAAACCAGTCATGGGTATTGTGCAGGATTCATTAGCAGCTGTCAGAAAATTTACAAAAAGAGATGTCTTCCTTGAAAAGGTAACTTGTATTTCAATGCCTAGGAGTATACACTATTGTTGTTGACACCACTGTTTGGTCCATTGTTAATTTCACGATTTACACCATTGTTGCATCATACATTACACCATACTTTATGACGTTGTCAATCTGCTTTTTATTTGTCGGAAATTGATGAAGACAACATTAGGATTTTTGCAACCAATTACTTTAATCACTAAAACTAGTATTAATTTGTATTGCAGGAAGATGTAATGATTTTATTAATGTGGTTGCCATCATGGGATGGTAAAATGCCTCAACCATGTATATTGAAACCCAAACCGTTATGGACAGGTAAACAATTGATGTCTCTGATTGTACCTGGTAATGTTAATTTAGTACGTACGCATAGCACCCATCCTGATGAAGAAGACACTGGTCCTTATAAATGGATATCACCAGGAGATACTAAGGTAGGTCAATTACTCATGGTGGAGATACCATGTTCTAAGCATTGAAAACATAAAATAACTCTATTCAAGCTTGTATTAATTTTGATTGCAAAAAATATAATGTACTTGCCATGTGCATGGTTATTACAGTTGTACTATGTTCATTTGCAACATTCATCCATAACAACATTGGTAGAATTGATGGTACTAATAAATACTACATTATGGTTTATTTAGGTGCTGATTGAGAATGGAGAAGTTTTATCTGGTATTTTATGCAAGAAGACTTTAGGTACATCGAGTGGATCTTTGGGTCATGTGGTATTTGTGGAAATGGGACATGAAATTGCCAAAGAGTTTTATGGAAACATTCAGACAGTAGTAAATAATTACTTGCTTATAGAAGGTCATACTATTGGAATGGGTGACTGTATTGCTGATGCTCAGACCTATGATGATATTCAGAATACAATCCGTAAAGCTAAACAAGATGTGATAGAAGTTATTGAGAAAGCTCATAATGATGAATTGGAACCCTCCCCTGGTAATACTTTGAGACAGACGTTTGAGAACCAGGTATGTGGG